CCTCGGCAAATCTTCCAGCTACAGAGCCCCCACTAATTGCTCAGAAACTCACCTCAGCAAATGCTTCAGCCATGGAGGTCCCAACAACAGCACAAAAATCCCCCGTATCAAACACTCTACCAGCAGAGACCTCACCAGCAGCCCAGAATCCCATCAAGGCACATGATTTTGCTGCACGGGCCACACCAACAGCCCAAAGATCCTCCACAGCAAAAGCATCATTTACACAGAGTCTTTCAACAACACAAAACTCCACTGCTCTACATGCCCCAGCAGCTAAGGGGCTCCAGACTACACAAACCTCTGCCCCTATTACAGCCACTCGGGGTCTACCTGTTCCCAGGGCAACCACACGTTTTCATGCAACAAGCACATCCAAAGGAAGAGGAACACTTCCTTCTTCAGGTCAGTCGACACTATGCAGGTTTCCTGTGTACGGATTTAATCTGCTATGGTAAAAATTCGAACTTGACCAAGACAGCAAAATTAAATTAAATAGTCTGATTTATTGTAGCCAAGTTTTTGTTGTTGTTTTGTTTTTCATGCCAATGCTTTTGATTCTTAAGAGGCAGACTTGGAAGGTGCTAGGACAAATTTTTTAAAAAGAAACATTTTACAGGAAAGTTACATAGAAAAAGTTGTGACCCCACAAAAAACAGTACTAAATTAAGATTGGTGACAAAGTTCTGTTTTTCATAGTAACTTTAGGGAGTCATTGAATTCTGTAAGACCCCTTCAAAGAACCAAATACGGTTTATGCCTGGGTCTGGTTTATTGACCAGCCCATCCCTCAAGCATGATAAAAGATCTCTCCAAATTCCCTAGAGTCGCTAATTTAGTAAAGCATCTCAACAGTGTCTACTAAGTAATTGAAAATACAGAGATTCTTTCAAATAGTTCATATTGTTACAAGGCTCTTTAAATGACAGTTTTTATGAAAATGGTGTAAAATATGCGGTAGGCTTCAGAAATAGCCTTTGAATGAATGGATGAAACCCTTCTTGCTAATTAATGCTGCTTCACACCACCAAGATGTCTCGTCTCACAACTTGCCTAATGTATAATATTTTTAGACATTTTTGTTTTTTGGTAGGGACTATCTAATTTTTTTCTTTTTTCTTCATTGGAAAATATCTATATCTATCTATCTATCGATAACTATCATCTATCACTTTTCTATCTATATAAGGTTCCCTGGGTGGCGCAAATGGTCAAGTGCTCAGCGACTAGCTGAAAGGTTGGTGGTTCAAACCTACGCGGAGGCTCCTTAGAAGACAGGCCTGGTGATCTGCTTCTGAAAGGTCACAGCCTTGAAACCTCTATGGAGCAGATCTACTCTGCATACATGGGGTCGCCATGAGGCACAATCGACTCAATGGCAACTAACAACAATAACATATATTAAGAAGTTAAAACAATTAGACACATATAGTACATGTATATATATTATGTACATGTATATGTATTATATAGAAGCATATAGAAGACTGCATAAAACATAAATGTACAGCTCAACAAGTTATCTAAAGCAAATATCTGTGTAACAGCTACAAATGTCCAAATAGAGAACATTGCCTGCACTTCAGTTTGCTGCTCACCTTCCAGATGCTCTGTTAGGCCTGAACACGGGTAGCATGGGGGCTTTCTGCTTCCTATACCATGTGGCCTAGGGAATGCCCTCAGCTTCATGTATGCAAATCTCTCTCCATACACTTCCACTCTCTCTTGGCTTAGATCAGCTTCTGCCTGCTTTAGGTCCCTCTCCAGTGCCTTCAAACCATTGTCATTGGTTGCTGTTTACTATTTTGTCCAGATTTCATAATTGTTATGTTGAAGTCTATTTTGCCAATACCCATATATTTTTAAGAACTTAAAACACTACACATATTATTGTTAAAGTCCCCCTTGTACATTTCCTCACTCCTATTTCTCTAAGGAAGCCCTGGTTGTGCAATGATTAAGAGCTCACCTGCTAACCAAAAGGTTAGCAGTTCAAATCTACCAGCCCCTCCTTGGAAACCCTATGGGGCAGTTCTACTCTGCCGTATAGGGTTGCTGTGAGTCGGAATCAACTCGATGACAATGGATTTGGTTTTATTTCTCTAAGGCAGTAACTGCCCTGAGGTTGGTGTATATTCTTCCTATTTTTTTATTCTTATACTAGATATATGTATCCCTAAATAGTAGATAATATTATTTTGTTTTTTATATAATTTACACAAACAGTATATTACATATTTTATTATCTCATTTGACTTTTCACTCAACATTGGTTTTGTGGTTTATTTGTGGTGGTATATTTAGATTTAGTTCTTTAACTCTTGTATGGTTATACATCCATTTCCTTGTTGACTTTTTAAAGTTTTATTAGTACAGCTCTGCAGTCCAAAATTTTTAGGTTGAATACATCCAATTCTTCACAGGACAAAGCAAAGAGAAATAAGTTTCATTTTAAGTAAATTTGTTGTAGAAATACTTCTTTTTGTAAAAGATACAAGATAATTTAACAAATTTAAACTAAATCTAAGGGGGCAATTGTTACGATAAAAATACCACCACTATATGGGACCAATTTTGTCTTTTGTGTACAATTAATTTATTCTTTCAGGGCACAATATAATATACCATTTTTAGCTTTAATGAAAAAAGAATACTAAATACCACTTATTGAGTAGTAATGTAGTGGTATGTACCACACACTTGGCAATTGTCAACTCCAGTCCCTACAGCAACCTTGCAAGATAAGTATTTTTAGCTTCATTTTCTAGATGAGGAATTAGAGATTAACTTGTACAATTCATATACAGTACATAGTTAATTGAAAATTGGCTTCAAAGCCTGTGCCTTTTCTTCTGTGTAATACTGCCTGTTCTTAATGACACTTTGCGTAAATTTGTTTACCTCACTTAACTGAGCAGCATATTTATTATTATAAATATGTTTATTTTAAAGTAATTTTTGTAATGTCTCATTCATAGTCATTAAAAGATATAATTAATAAGGTGATATGATAATTTAATTTTAGTCTGCTGAAGGGACTTAGGTTTCTAGTAGCTTCTTGATAGTAGAATTGGATCAGTAGTTATTTACTATTTAAATTTTTCAAACTTGTTTCTTGCCATCAAGTCATATAACCAAATTAAGATGGAGTTTGTTTTGGTATTCAATAATTATTTATCATGTTTTTATGTGTATAGTGTTGATTCTGTTGAACAAACATAGGCATTGGTTGTGTATGTTACTTGGTTGAATTAATAATGTATCATTATTTTCAGAAATTTGTTTATAATTACTTCTTTTAGTTATGCAAATTTGAGTTACTTTTGAACATTCAAATATTGCTTATTGATATTTCTATTGATTACTTGCAAATCAATGACTTCTTAAATTTTTATTTTTGTGATTTTTTTTTTCTTCTTCTTTTTCTTCTTCAGGTGCTATGATTCTTGCATCTGGTAAGTCTGGCTCTCAGACAGTTAAAAGAGAATGTCATCACTGTGGGATGTACAATCCATATTCCTGGAAGAGAATACTGTCTTTTAACTGTCTTAGGAGTACTGTTAAAATGCAGTGTTTATGGTTACCAAAGAGAAAAAGGGTAAATGCATTTCAGCATGTTTTATGGATGCCACTAGGTACGCGGTATGTTCCTAAGTATTCTCAACCATGTTCTTGTTCCAAGGTAATTTTTGGGCAACTTCAAATCATTTGGCCAATCAGTCAAATATTATTACGCGCCCATTGTCTGAAGGCATCATTCTAGGCACAGAAAAACTACATGAAGGAAAGAGTTATTAACACAGTTTCTATCCTCAAGTATTCTATGGTCAGTCATAAACTACTCCTTGGTCATTTCTGGATTTCTCTCTGATCCCAAACCAGACAAAGAGTGCTACTTCGATTGCATCCTCTTTCTCTTCCCTTCCCTTTCAGTGATTTAGGAGTCCCTGAGTGGTATAAACTGTTAATGAGCTCGACTGCTAACTGAAAAGTTAGGGGTTTGAGGCCACCCAGAGGCTCCTCAGAAGAAAGGACTGGCAGTCTACTTCCCAAAAATCAGCCACTGAAAAACTTAAGGAGCACAGTTCTACTCTGACACATATGGGGTCGCCATGAGTCGAAGTCGACTCAATGGCAACTGGTTTGGTTTTTCTCTTTCTTCAGTGATTTGAAGCAAAGTTATCTTTAGAAAAATATTCTGTTGCTCTAGACATGAGGCCAAAAAGATATAACTGTGTTGTATTTTTTTCTAGCAATTTGTCCAGTCTTTTTTTTCCTTTTTTCGGTTTTGCCCATAATTATATTTGATGATTATGCATTAACAGCAAGGTTAATACACTCCTAAAGAAGATGGTAAGAAAAAATGTTGATTAAGGAGCAGTTACAGCTAAGTTGGCATATAAAAAGGAATATATCAGTTAAGTATACAATTCAATAGCAAATGAGTAGGATATTTTTAATTAAAAAATGTGTATTTTTAGATTACGTACTTAAAAGCTAATGCCTTCATCCTATGTATGCATCAATTAGCCAAGGGGACAGTAAGGCTGAAAGGAGGTATTTTTATTATTATTATTAATTTTGTTGTTGTTTTTTATATTTTGAATGAACTTCTCCTAAACTAAAATATTTATCTCAAAAGATTCCAACAGTTGAGATTCATTTTGTTTATTCTGTGTTTAAAATAGAAATAAATACATTCTGAATGAAAATCTCATGATTTCAGGGTTTAATGTTTACAAAAATGATGAGTTGAATAGATGCACTTTTTCTCACCTGCTCAGTGTCATTCAGTGAAGGTTTGTCTCTGAAATTCTTCAAGGATATACTCTGTGGTTTCCTAGAAACCTTGCCGTAGTATCAGTTATAATTCCAATTTCTGCTCAGAAATAAAGAGTAAGCCCTTCTTATTAAATCAGACTTATGGCAACATTTTTTGGTGATCTTATACCTGTAAAATATAAACTTGAAAATTATCTTTATTTCTTAAATTATCCTGTAAATTAGGTCACTTCTCACTTTAAAGTAAAGGATATTGATTTTACTGATTACATTGCAATGTAAGTGAATGATGCAGATGATATTAGAACTTGAGGAGTATTTGAATTTTTTTCCTATTTAACTCTGCTAAAAAAGAGACTGACTAATCATCACAGAATTTCCTTATTTGCCTTGTAAATAAAGCTTGTATTGTGAATTTGTAAGGTTCTCTTCCGATGGCTCTGTATCAGTGTTTTCTCAATTATTTTTTTTAATTAATGCCCCTTTTTTAACTTTTTTTCCTAGACATCCCCCCATGAAATTTTAATACCACAGATATACTGTAAATATGTTTACTGTATGTATATCTGTACTTTCTACATAAAAAGAGTACGATTTTTTTAACCCTTTGGTAGGTAGTTATTACTCTCATTGAGAATATATGCTTAATGTTTGTTTTTAAAATTATGATTTAGATGAAGGTTTACAAAGCAAATTAGTTTTTCATTAAACAATTAATACACATGTTGTTTTGTGACATTGGTTGCCAACCCCACGACATGTCAATTCTATCCCCTTCTCAACCTTGGGTTCCCATTACCAACTTTCCTGTCCCTTGCTGCCTTCTCGTCATTGCCCCGGGGCTGGTGTGCCCATTTAATTTTGTTTTGTTTTATGGGCCTGTCTAATCTTTGACTGAAGGGTGAACCTCAGGAGTGACTTTAGTACTGAGTTAAAAGGGTGCCTGGGGGCCATACACTTGGGGTTTCTCCAGTCTCTGTCAGACCAGTAAGTCTGGTCTTTTTGTGTGTGTATGAGTTAGAATTTTGTTCTACATTTTTCTCCTGCTCTGTCCGGGACCCTCTATTGTGATTCCTGTCAGAGCAGTCTGTGGTGGTAGCTGGGCACCATCTAGTTGTGCTGCACTCAGTCTGGTGGAGGCTGTGGTAGTTGTGGTCCATTAGTCCTTTGGTCTAATCGTTCCCTTGTTCTTTGGTTTTCTTTATTCTCCCTTGCTCCAGACGAGGTGGGACCAGTGGAGTATCTTAGATGGCTGCTAGCAAGCTTTTAAGACTCCAGACACTATTCATCAAAGTAGGATGTAGAACATTTTCTTTATAAACTATGTTATGTCAGTTAAGCTAGATGTCCATCAAGACCATGGTCCCCAAGCCTCAGCCCAGTAAGTCGGTCCCTTAGGGAGTTTGGATATGTCTATGAAGCCTCTATGACTTTGCCTTGGTGAAGTTGTGCTGACTTCCCCAGTATAGCGTACTGTCTTACGCTTCACCAAAGTTATCACTTATCTATTGTCTAGTTAGTGTTTTTCCCTCCCTGCCCCTCCCCTCTCTTGTAACCATCAAAGATTGTTTCTTTCTGTGTGTCTTAGTCATCTAGTGCTGCTATAACAGAAGTACCACAAGTGGATGGTTTGAATGAAGAGAAATTTATTTCCTCACAGTCAAGTAGGCTAAAAGTCCAAATTCAGGGCGTCAGCTCCAGGGGAAGGCTTTTTCTCTCTGTCAGCCTTCTTCTCTTCAGTGTTCCCCCGGACTAGGAGCTTCTCTGTGCAGGGACCCCAGTCCAAATGACACGCTCTGCTCCCAGCACTGCTTTCTTGATGTTATGAGGTCCCCAACTCTCTGCTTGCTTCCCTTTCCTTTTATCTCTTGAGAGATGAAAGGTGGTGCAGGCCACACCCCAGGGAAACTCCCTTTACATTGGATCAGGGATGTGACCTGGGTAAAGGTGGTGTTACAATCCCACCCTAATCCTCTTTAACATAAAATTACAATCACAAAATGGAGGCCAACCACACAATTCTGGGAATCATGGCCCAGCCAAATTGATACACACATTTTTGGGGGGACATAATTCAAACCATGACACTGTGTATAAACCTTTTCATTGGTTCTTATAATAGTGGTCTCATGCAGTATTTGTCCTTTTGTGATTGACTTATTTCACTCATCATAATGCCCTACAGATTCATCCATGTTGAGATGTTTCAAAGATCCATCATTGTTGCATACTATTCTGTTGTGTGTCTGTACCATAGTTTGTTTATCCATTCATCTGCTGATGGACACCCAGGTTGTTTCCATCTTCTTGCTGTTGTGAATAATGCTGCAGTGAACATGAGTGTGTATATTTCTGTTTGTGTGATGGCTCTTCTTTCTCTAGGTTATATTCCTATGAGTGGGATTGCTGGATCATATGGTATTTCTATTTCTAGCTTTTTAAGGAAGCACTAAATGGATTTCCAAAGTGGTTGTACCATTTTACATTCCCACCAACAGTGTATAAGTGTTCCAGTCTCTCCATAACCTCTCTAACATTTATTATTTTGTGTTTTTTGAATTAATGCTAGCTTTGTTGGGGTGAGATGGTATCTCGTTGTAGTTTTGATTCGCATTTCTCTAATCACTAGTGATCACAAGCATTTCCTCACGTGTCTGTTAGCTGCCTGAATGTCTTCTTTGGGTGAAGTGTCTGTTCATATCCTTTGCCTATTTTTAAATTGGATTATTTATCTTTTTGTTGTGGAGGTGTTGGATTTTCCTACAGATTTTAGAGATACAGACCTTTGGTGGATATGTCATACCAAAAATTTTTTCCCAGTCTGTAGGTTCTCTTTTTACTCTTTTGGTGAAGTCTTTTGATGAGTATAAGTGTTTAATTTTAGAAACTCCCAATTATCTAACTTATCTTCTGGTGTTTGTGTATTGTTAGTTACAGCTTGTATCCTATTAATGCCATGTGTTAGTTAATGCCATGTGTTAGGGCCTCTAGCATTGACCCTATTTTTTCTTCTATGATCTTTATAGTTTTTGGTTTTACTTTTAGGTCTTTGATCCATTTTGAATTAGTTTTTCTGTATGGTGTGAGGTATGGGTCCTGCATCATTTTTTTACAGATAGGCATCCAGTTTTGCCAGTACCATTTGTTAAAAAGACTGTCTTTTCCCCATTTAATGGACTTTGGGCCTTTGTCGAAGATCAGGTGACTGTAGGTGGATGGATTTACATCCGGATTATTTCTGTTCCATTGGTCAGTGTGTCTGTACTTGTACCAGTACCAGGCTGTTTTGACTATCGTAGCTGTAGAGTCAGTTCTGAGGTCAGGTAGTGTGATTCCTCTGACTTTATTCTTCTTCTTCAGTAGTGCTTTACTTCTCTGGGGCCTCTTCCCTTTCTGTATAAAGGTAGTGATTTGGTTGTCCATGTCTTTAAAGAATGCTGTTGGAATTTGGATCAGGATTGCATTGTACCTGCAGATCACTTCGGGGAGTATTGACATTTTCACAATGTTGAGTCTTCCTATCCATGAGCATGGTATGTTTTTCCACTTAGGTAGGTCTCTTTTGGTTTCTGGCAGTGGTGTTTTATAGTTTTCTTTGTATAGGTCTTTTACATCCCTGGTTAGGTTTATTCCTAAGTATTTTTTTTTTTAGGGAGCTATTATAAATGGTATT